TCTTCACTTATAGATTACAGGAAAATTAATAAGAAGTGTATGGTCTGAACATAACGTGCTAAATCTTTTAACAAAACAATACTGTGCGTATCAAATTTCATTTGCAGTTTAAATATAGGTTTAGGAGAACTTGTTTTTTGAACTACAATGTTATGTGGGTTCTAGGGTTAGGGTTCCGCACGTCCCAATGTGAAACGGAATCCTTATAGAATCACTCGTGTGTCTGTCTGTTCATTTTTTATATTATAGTCCAAATTAACCGTTCACAAGCACACAAGTGATGTTGTCATTAGTTTTTGGGCCGATTCGTACAGAATGTCGCGATGTCATGAATGTAATTTGTTAATTATTTTACGCTAGTTACATACTAAGCTAATATAACGGTACAGAACTCTCCGAGAGCGAGTCCTACATGAACTTGTCCATAATTTTTTAAATAACTCTTTCCGCTGACTCGTTCGAAAACACGATGTACATTTGAATTTCACTGATTGCTGAATCAGACATGTCGTGATGTTAAAAAGCGTATGGCTTAATTAAAACGTTGGATTTCTAACCACTCCTTTTTTTTACAGGTTTACTGTCCTGGGACATCAACGATTGCCACGTCGACCTCGAAAAAGAATTGTCCATAATCACGGAACAGTCTCCCGAAGGAGAGGAGGCTAAGTATGGTAAGTCAACGAGTATTCTCAGATGATATTTAATAATTTATAAATTAAAAACCTCACGCCACATTATAGCAGATAGGTAGTAATTCCATATACGATAATTAAAGCCAAAATCTATTACCAATTCATATTCTTAATCATTCGTCTTCTCATAACATTTAAAGAATCTTCTTTATGAAATTGTAAGGCCTTATTAATTTGAAAAAAATCGTTTGTCTGTAAAGTCGGTTTACTGACGATAGTTGAACGTGACAACGTCATAAGAAAATATTGATGGAATGGTTTCATTTTTCAAAAGAAAATTTTAATTTTATTTGTTTGATAGATATTTTGTATGGATATAGAGAAGGAGGTAAATGGAAATGTATTATTGTATAGCAGCTNTTTCATATTAAACTAACTCACTTCTAAAAGATATCTAAATTATATGTATGTTTAATCATAGTATATTCAGTATATAGTTACATTAGTTCGACGGATCGTTAACCTTGTAGGTCGGTTGGTCGTGGTTGTTGTTGTCACCTCTCGTAGTTTAGTGGTCAGAACATTGGTGCGTAAAGCCAAAGGTCCCGGGTTCGATTCCCGACGGGGGTGTGACAACAGCAACAATTTTTCCCTCATTAATTTGAGGTAGCGTGTAGTGGGTAAAAAATTCAGAAATGAATTTTCAGAATAATATTTCATATTAAACTAACTCACTTCTAAAAGATATCTAAATTATATGTATGTTTAATCATAGTATATTCAGTATATAGTTACATTAGTTCGACGGATCGTTAACCTTGTAGGTCGGTTGGTCGTGGTTGTTGTTGTCACCTCTCGTAGTTTAGTGGTCAGAACATTGGTGCGTAAAGCCAAAGGTCCCGGGTTCGATTCTCGGCGGGGGTGTGACAACAGCAACAATTTTTCCCTCATTAATTTGAGGTAGTTTGTAGTGAGTAAATAAAAAATCGAACAAAAACTGATTTCAAATTAATATTGCATATTAATCCACTATTAAGTAGATAACTGACAATGTCATAGGATTTCATTGTAAGGCCTTCTTTCTTTTCAATTTCCTATTTCTGTACACCCTGTATTTATTGTTAAATAATTCCATTCGTTTCTGCCATTGAGTAAAGGTATCATTCACAATCGGATGATATTTTATCGTTAAAAAAAATCTCGACAGTGAACGAGACGGTCGTAAAAAGGAAGATGAACATGAATGGTATCTGTTATCTGGCTTTATTGGTTAACCATAATGGTGCCTTAAAGCATTCGACCGTTTCACAAGACTAGATAAGAGTGCTTCGACAGCTTGGTACAAAACAAATTGCTGACTGGAACCATTTAGGCGAAGAAATTCCCTTAAAATGTTCTCGGATATTCGGGTGGAATTTAGGGCGGGTGGTCCCAATTCAACTCTAAAGAACGTGACATTTACACTAATTGCTAATCAAGAGCATCCCCTTTCTTGTGGGACAAAGGAACATAAATTGCTAAGCAAAACAGATTTTTTAAACCATAGGATAGAAATACTTTAAACGTTGAAGACACACAAATTCTTTCTATTAATAAGGCTAAAAAATATTCATTAGAAATACAATTAACGCAATAATGCTATTAATTAATTCTAATTTGTAAGGACAACTGGAATAATAAAATATACAAAAACAATTAAAAGTCATTCTATAGACAGTATACGCCATCTGTAGGTAGACAGCAGAGTATAATGCTTGATATTATTGTATTTAAACTTCTTTGTATGGAATTAACAAGTATCTGTAAGTCTACAATTCGAAGTGCCTGAATTTTTACATATTATCTATTATAAAAGTGTGATTATATATATTTTTTTAAATAAAAAAGTAGACGACTTCAGCACAACTCTTGAAATTGACGATATACTGACTTCCACCAAGTATGCGTATGAACGCATAAGAAACGCATCCCTGTGGCGAGGGTTAATTAAAAATTTAATTGAAGTACATATTTCCCATAATATTTTGATTCGCTTTTATTCTTTCAGGCGAACGACTTATTCAGTTTGCTTCCGAAAATTTGGTAACGGAAGTTTTAATTCATCCGGCTGTTAGCACTTTATCACAATGCATGAAGAATTTGCTAAGTAGTTTTACTAGGCATCGACACATTATCCATTCAGGATACACATTTGCAGGGAATGGTTCCTGGATTCTACAGGTAGGTTAATAAATAATGATCAAAAAACGTTAACAATTTTTTTTAAATTGTTACTACAGAAAATTAAAAAATTACCTAAAAATGAAATGCTAAAAAACCTTAGAATTGTCCAATGTGTATTTTAAAAAAGAGTTAATAACCAGAAAAAACTTAAGTGATGACAAATTCAAGATAAAAATTAAGTGATATTAACTATTATCTTCAAATTTAGTGTTTTTCTTACTAACATGGATATTTATTCAAGTTGAGGCCCAAATTATGCAATACATTCAAATTCATGTCTCTGATCAAATCTTCAACACATATTTATGGATATATTTCTGATAGGATGGAACATTTTCGTTAGCCGACTTTTCGGAAGCATTCCAAGAGGTTGAGGTCCAGCGTGTTCTTAAAGCTTACGAGAACACGATTTCTCTGGATCTTCATTGTTCACCGGAAGGCGATTGGTCAAAGCTTTCTAGAGAATCATTTACGAAGAACTGCAAGCTGCGATTGAACCCTGACGACGTCCTTACCTCAGGGAACACTTCGATAACAAATTTTTTAAATTATCTTTTGCCGTTTCTCAATCCGACCGACATAGAAAGCGTATTAGAAAGCTCAGATATTGTGGGCAACATTAGGTGAGTACTATGCGATTACGTCATCATCCACTCCTTCCTATTATGAGCTAATTTTCGGATTTCCTTAAAACTAGAACAACCCATATCCTTAACTATTTGTGAACAGTACTCTAACCTAGGTCTACCTCTACCCCTCCTAATTCCTGTTTCTGCCTCTAATATGTCTCTGACTAGCCCTTCATGCCTGAAAAGGTGTCCTACCAACCTATCTGTTCTCATATTCTTTCTAATATCTCATCATTTCTAACCTTCTCTATCCATGGTATCCTCATTATTCGACGGTAACACCACATTTCGAAGGCTTCTAACTTTATCTTTTCCGCAGCGCCCACCGTCTATGTTTCGCACCCGTACAGCGCCGGGCTTCAAACATACACTTTTATCAATCTTTTTCGAATTTCTAAATTAATCCTTCACGAGCATAGAAGTGACTTCATTTTATTGAAGGCGACTCGACCCTGCGTTATCCTCTGCTTTATATCCCTACTACTCCTTCCGTCTTGACTTATCTGACTTTCTGGATACCTAAAATCAACCACTTCTTCATGTCTCTCGTCTCTTATCTTTGCGATTACGTAATCCGCATAAAATCTTATGTTAGTAGAAGCGTAAGCTTAAGGAAACGTGCATCTTGCTTTATTGATGTAAATTAATTATTTATTATACATACAATATCGTTATCACAGACTGCAAGCCCGAAGACTGGTTTAGCACGAATCTCTGCTCATTTCTTCGCATTTCCCAAAATTGTAGAACATTCTACATTTGTAAACATCAATCTAAATTACTTTATTACTCTTTCTGGATCTGATGCTTGACATTTTCTCCTCGTTTCTAAACTTTTCTGTCCATATATCAGATAAAAAAACATAAGTATATTGTGCGTTAATAAAATTTTCGTGAGAGTGAAAAATGATCTTTTTGTTACTTCCAGGTTTTCATATCCAACTTTATATATCTTTCCCGCTGGTCAAGGCGATGCCGCCCTTTTTGGTATTAATGGTTTTAATATGCTAGTGGATGGAGGCTTTTCTAGAAAAGCCTGCTTTTGGAATTTCGTTAGACACTTGGACAGATTAGACGCTGTTCTTCTGACTAGAATAAATAACAACAACGTTGGTGGAATTGGCTCAATGATGAGACGAAAACGACACAGTTCTGTTTATCCACAAATTGGTCATTTCTTTTGCAACATTCTGGTAAGTTACAAGTAATTTGTTGAAATTTAATCAACTCAATTATTTTCCTGTTGTTTCAGGAAAGAAAATCTATACTTAGCCCTGACGGTGACAAAGATAAAGATCCGCTGTTGGTGAATCTATTTGAAGAGGGTCAGGAATTGGTCGAGAATTTACACCACATCAACTTGAATCCGCAAACATGTTATCGCGATATCGAACCCATCAATCTGTATCACAAAGTAGGTCATGGAACTTTGGATATGTATGTACTTAGTCCTGCGAGGGAATCGAAGGAAGTGAGAGAATTCCTTCAAAAGTGGAACTCCAACGATCAGAAGTTATTCGCGAGTCAAAAACATTCGCGCGATTTTAATTTTCCCGTGCAAAACCTAGTGTCAATATGTGCTGTATTAGTGTGGCAGCCTGCCAACGTAAACGATAATATTACAAGGATTTTGTTTCCCGGAAGTGCTCCGCAACAAAAAGTGTTCGAAGGCTTAGACAAGCTTAAGCAACTAGAATTCTTTAAGTATCCGACGTGTTCGCTTAAATCCTTAGCTCCCATACCGAAAGCCAAGCAAACAAAAGGTAGTGTTATAGAACGACTATTACAGGAACAGAAGCAGGAGAAACAAGAGAGACAAAAGGAGAAGATGGTTCAGCAGATTGGAAAAATCGACGGTAAAGTCGAAGAAGTGAAACCGGTCGAAAGGAATGGGGTGGCCGCTGAACAAAAAACAATTAGAAAACATGACTCAACTGAAAGTGAGAAAAGCCTTTCCAAATCAATGGACACACGTAAACCTGAGGAAATTAACGGAAAAGTGCCTGAAGATAAGCAGCCAACAAAACCTAAGATCAAACCAGAATCCAAGCCAAAAGTAGACGCAAAACCGAAAGTAGAACCCAAACCTGTCAAGCAGCCTCCCAAAAAACCTAAGTCAACACTAATTGACAGAAAACCTTCCCCCAAAAAAGTACCCGAACCTAAAGAAAACGGAGAAGTAAAAGACAAAGAAATATCACCTAAAACTCGAGTGGTTAGCAGATCATCACCTACTACCGCTCCTGCCAAAAGTGCAAAAGATGCTAATAACAGAAAAGTTGCTGAATCCAAGAAAACTGCCGCAGCCAAAGACACCCCTAAGCCGGAGAAAAAAGAAGCACCCGAAAGAAAACCAATTTCTCGTAGAACCAAAGGACTCTCCTCAGCGGCAAAAGTGCCAGGCAGTCCTCAGAAGAAGCTCGAAAAGAAAATTAAATTGGAAAAAGAAGGCACCACCGATTCCAGCACCGTCAGCACACCTTCTGCAGACCAGGAATTCAAAAAGGACATCAGCAAATTGACTCCTGAAGAACTCGAAGCTATCAAAGCTCGAGAGCTTGCTGATCTCCAGGAAGAACAAGAAGTCATTAAAGAAATCGAAGCAGTTTTCCTTAAAAGTGAACAGGCTGAGAATGAAATGCGTCGAATAAAAAACATTTCAATAGAGGATCATACCGATGAGGAGTATCTCATTATAGAAAAGGAAGAAATTGAACAAGAAATGGCTGCAGAACAAAGTTTGAAAGAAGGAGAAACACAGAAACACATCCGGGATTCTGAAGAATCAGAAAAGTTGAGAGCTTCCCTTGAAGGGCATAAAGCAGTCGAAGATGTTCCCCATTTAGTTCAGCAACAAAAAGCAATACCGACCAAAGAAGAAATAGCACCAACCGAAGATAAAGTGGAAGCTGATAAGGAAATTCTAGACAAAAAGGTGGAAGACGAGAAAGAGCTGGCTGATTTAAAATCCCAGCCTGAAGACAAATTCTCTACTCCTATAGAATCCGGAGCGACCACTGCTCCCACACTTCCAGAGGATGAGCGAATGCCCTTAGAAGAAATAAAAGAAGCTGTAATCGAAGAAAAACATACTAAAGAAGAAACCAAAGAAAAAGACAAGATAGATTCCACAAAAAAAGTAGCAGAACCAATTGCGAAGACTGCAGTCGTAGCAAGTATAAAATTAGACAGACAATCCCAAATACGTGATATTGTCAAAACACCAGATGAGGTCGCTGATCTTCCCGTACATGAAGAAGCAGATATTGACACATTTGAGCCGTTCCATGAAAAAGTCGATTTGAAAGAAGAAGCTGACCAAAAGATAACTGATGTTAAGGTAAAAGAAGAAAAAATAGTAGAATCAGCCAAAGATAAAGTACCTTCAAAAACTGACTTAAAGCAAGATGAAACAACTGATAAACTTCATTTAGATGATAAATTAGAAGAACAACACAAAATTGAACCAAAAACTGTCAAAGATATCAAAGAAGAAATTAATCAAATTGAAGGAAAAGGAACGTCTCAAGCAACAGTAATAGAGAAAGAAATACTTAAAGATGAACCTGTTCTAAAAAAAGAAGAACAACATCTCGAAGAGAAGATCACAAAAGAGGTTGAAGATGCTAAAAAACCTATCGAACAGTTGCCAGATCACAAGGCTGAAGTAAAAGAAACCAAAGAAGAAGCAGAGCAGAAAATAAAACAGAGTGAAGAGGTGATAGAAAAAAAAGTAGCTGAAGAAGAATTAAAGAAAGAAGTGCATCCAAAAGAAAAAGAAGAAAAACATGATATAATAGTACCATTAGAAGAGCAAAAACAAAAGACGCCTATACAAGATAAAGAAATAAAAGAAGAAATAAAAGAGACTGAAGAGAAAAAAGAAAAAGATGAAAAACAATTACTAGTAGAAAGTTCTACAGAAATTAAAGATTCAAAGGAAGCGCAGGAAATTAAAATCGACGAATCTGTTATAAAAGATGGGCTAGTGGCTAAAGAAATTCAACAAAAAGAAATAGAAAGTATCGACATAGATACAAAACCACCTGCAGGGCAAAAGATAGAATTGAAAGAGGAAAAAGCTGATTTGAAAGCAGTTACTGAAAAACTAGATGGTAAAGATAAACCTACTCATGACGAAAAACAATTGCCGCACGTCGATACAGCCAAAGATATTTTCGAGAAAGACAAAACTGGAGAACAGGAAGAATTGCATACAGAAGATGAAAAGGTTCAAGAAAAGGATACAGTGAAAGGTGTTGATGGACATGTAGAAGCAGAAAGTGAGCCTCAAGAAAAAGAAAGTACGAAAGACGAAAAATTAAAAGTGGACGATAAAGATATTCTCGAACGCCAACCCGATATAAGTGAAGAAATCCACAAAGACGAGCGCAAACTTAGTGTGAGTGAAAGAACCCATAAAGATGAGCGCAAGCCGAGTATAAGTGAAGAAATTCACAAAGACGAACGTAAACTTAGTGTGAGCGAAGAAACTCATAAAGATGAACGCAAACCGAGTGTAAGTGAAGAAATTCACAAAGACGAACGCAAACTTAGTGAGGGTGAAGGAATTCACGTAGAAGAGCGGAAACCAAGTGTGGCTGAAAAAATTCACAAAGAAGAACGAAAACTTAGTGTAAGTGAAGAAACTCATAAAGATGAACGCAAACCGAGTGTAACAGAAGAAATCCACAAAGAGGAACGCAAACTTAGTGTGTGTGAAGGAATTCACGTAGAAGAGCGGAAACCAAGTGTGGCTGAAGAAATTCACAAAGAAGAACGGAAACTTAGTGTGAGTGAAGACATTCATAAAGATGAACGCAAACCAAGTGTAACAGAAGAAATCCACAAAGATGAACGCAAACTTAGTGTGAGTGAAGGAATTCACGTAGAAGAGCGGAAACCAAGTGTGGCTGAAGAAATTCACAAAGAAGAACGGAAACTTAGTGTCAGTGAAGAAACTCATAAAGAAGAACGCAAACCGAGTGTAACCGAAGAAATCCACAAAGATGAACGCAAACTTAGTGTGAGTGAAGAAATTCACAAAGAAGAACGGAAACCTAGTGTGACTGAAAAAATCCACAAAGAAGAACGGAAGCTTAGTGTGAGTGAAGACATTCATAAAGATGAACGCAAACCGAGTGTAAGTGAAGAAATCCACAAAGACGAACGCAAACTTAGTGAGAGCGAAGAAACTCATAAAGATGAACGCAAACCGAGTGTAAGTGAAGAAATTCACAAAGACGAACGCAAACTTAGTGTGGGTGAAGGAATTCACAAAGAAGAGCGGAAACCAAGTATGACTGAAGAAATTCACAAAGAAGGACAGAAACCTACTGTGACTGAAGGAATTCACAAAGATGAACGGAAACTTAGTGTAAGTGAAGAAACTCATAAAGACGAACGCAAACCGAGTGTAAGTGAAGAAATTCACAAAGAAGAACAGAAACCTACTGTGACTGAAGGAATTCACAAAGATGAACGGAAACTTAGTGTAAGTGAAGAAACTCATAAAGGGGAACGCAAACCGAGTGTAAGTGAAGAAATTCACAAAGACGAACGCAAACTAAGTGTGAGTGAAGGAATTCAGGAAGAGCAAAAATCTAGTATAAGTAAAGATGAAGTCATAGATAGCAAGAAAAAAGAACATCCATTAAGTCCAACAAAACCTGAAAAGACTGAACATGAACACAAAGAAGAAACAGAAGGAATAACAGAAACTGCACAAATTTCAACCTTTGGTGATAAAACAGTTTTGAAAGACGATATTAAACCCGATGAAGAAATGCTTGAAATAACGGAAAAGGGCATTAAAGAAGAGAAAGACATTGAAATTGCTGCAAAGACTGAAATTCATGAAAAGGAACAACAAAAAGAAAAGAAAAAAGAAGAAGCAGTCGAAGAAACAATTTTAAAAGGTCATGAAAAACTGGACGATTTAAAAGTTGATGCTACAGATGAATTTTTAAAACAAGAAATTGAAATGATACAACAGGAAGCCCTTCGAAAGTTATCTACAGATGGTGAAGTAAAAAGTAAAGAAGAACATGAAATTAAAGAAGTTAAGGAAGAGCCGAAAGTTGAAAAAGATTCCGAAAGAAAAGTATCTACAGAACTAAAAGACATTGATATGGCGTCTGAAAAAACTAGCGAGAAAGAAACAGATAAAACTGTAGAATCGAAAGTACCAGAACATAAAGAACAAGGAGGAGTGGGAGACAAAGAAAAAATTTTAGGAGAAATTAAAAAGACTGATAAAAAAGAGCAAGAAAAGTCAGAACCGTCCATATTAAAAGCCGATGCCGAGAAATTAGACACACCCCACGAAAAACAAGAAAAAGATAAAATACAAGAAACTGACAAAAAGGATACAAAATCACCTGAAGATGATAACAAAACACTAGATAAAGAACTTAAGCAACTTGAGGCATCTATAGAAAAATTAAATGAAATCGAAAAATCTGTCCACGAAGAAACATCTAAAGAAAAAGTTGAAGAACACGATATACCACAGGAACACACAGAATTAAAAATTGAAAAGGAAGTTAAAGATGCTTTACAGAAAGTTGCTGAAATTGATTCCAATAAACAAGACGAAAAGTCTTTTGTTGACCAAATTATGATTAAGAAAGAAATGGCTGAGATTCACGACACAAAGGCTCAAGAGGATAAAACACCTGCTTTAAAAGACGAACTAGAAAAAGCTGAACAAAAACAAGTAGATAAGGATAAAGAGGAAACAACCATTATTGACGAAAAAGAAAGTAAAGCTGTAGAAGACGTTAAAGAAGAAAAAGGTAAAACTCCTGAAAAAGAAACAGCTGCATACAAAGAGCAACCTATAATAAAAGAAGATACAAAAGAAATGCCACAAGATACTAACAAGCTAGAAGAACAGAAAATAAATGAATTTGATAAAACTACGTCAAAAACTGAAGAAAAATTACAAAAACAGGATGACAACAAAGCTGAATATGAAAAGAAGGATACTGCAGAGAAAGAAGCAGATTTTAAACTCAAAGAAGAATTACACGTAGAGAAAAGTGACAAAGAAAAAGATGTAGTTCAAGAAGATCATGAACATGAACTTCCTAAAGAGGAGCAGAAAGAAACTGATAAGCCACAAGCCGATTTAAAAGAAAAAGGACATTTAGAATTAGTGGTAGATAAAAAGGAAACCGAGAAAACATCAGAAGATGAAGATAAAAAACTAAAAAGTCCTGAACATTTGAGAGAACTCGAGAAAAGTGATGCGTCATCTCCATCATCAGAAGGACATGATGAAAAGAAGGAAGCAGGCGATATTAAACATCCTGATTCAAAAACGTCCATTTCACCAATAGTTACTCAAGAGAAGAAAGAATCTATAGAACAAATATGGGCAAAAGGCAGTGACCAAATTAAATTCGAACATGAAATAATTGGTAAAGATGCTACTAAATTAGAAAAGGAAATCGATTCACTTACAAAGGAGCAAGGCAAAAAGCCTGATCAGCGTGAAGATAAAAAAGATGAGTCACTGCCGCAAGAACCAACCAAAGAATATGAGAAACATGAAGAAAAAATTATAGATGAACATGAAGATGATTCTAAGTTGGAAAAGAAAGTTGACTCACCACTGCAAGAACCAGTCAAGCAGCATCAGAAACCTGAAGAAAAAATTGTCGATAAACATGAAGACGTTTCCAAATTGGAGAAGAAAGTTGACTCACCACCGCAAGAACCAGCGAAACAGCATGAGAAACTTGAAGAAAAAATTGTCGATAAACATCAAGACATTGTCAAGTTGGAGAATAAAGTTGACTCACCACCGCAAGAACCAGCGAAACAGCATGAGAAACTTGAAGAAAAAATTGTCGATAAACATGAAGACATTGTCAAGTTGGAGAATAAAGTTGACTCACCACCGCAAGA